AATCGAAATCGGCGGAATTCGAAAATTTTATTTCAATTCCCACCCCAAATTTTTAAATATATATATATATATATATATATATATATATATATATATATATATATATATATATATATATATATATATATATATATATATATATATATATATATATATATATATATATATATATATATATATATATATATATATATATATATATATATATATATATATATATATATATATATATATATATATATATATATATATATATATATATATATATATATATATATATATATATATATATATATTTAACAAACAGGTTTATAAAAATAAAAAAAAATAAAAAAAAGGAAAATAACAATACATAAATCAGCGAAAATGATAAATGCAGGACCATAAATGTTGAATGCAGTTTGGCCGAAAATTGCATATAAGGGTAGTATAGTACTTTCGCTTCTCTAGGGGTATGTCAAATGATGATTTGGGCTTGGGTTTATCCATAGTTTATTTAGTGGCTAGGGGGTATTTAAAATAACCCCTACAATAATTGGGTCTCATTAGATTATTTAATCTTATCTTGGCTAATCTTATCTTGTCAAACCAAACGGGGCCATAACATTAGACTATTGGATGTTTTAAATTTATAATTATATACTCTTTATCAACCGTGTTCTGCCGAGCAACATCGAATGTTGTCGAGAGCACGTACGTCGAGTTATGGGCGTATTCGCTTGTTTTGTCTGTCGCCAGTGCTAGATGTCAAGTACTGTGTCGATACTCAACCATACCAATTTCCGAACCATAACTCTGCCATATGCTGAGTACCACCGCTCATTGTATTTATATGGTTGATTACGAGCCGAATATACGTTTGGGAATATTCTTGGAAATGATATACTATTTTTTCTAATGAAATTTAATTCATCGATCGTTTTGTAATGGAACATATAAAATTTAAATTTTAAAATTATAATTTTTTTTATTTGGTCATAGTGATGATTGCCTAGTCCAAGTCCCATTAAAATATCTACGTGCTAGAGTGAGCTTGGAATTTTCCCAATGAAATTTAATTTATTTTTTCGTCTTGGGATAAAGTTTTATACTTTAATTTTTATAGACTAAGAGACAGGTTTTAATTGTTATTTAATCAATACAGTTAGGTTGGGAAAAAGTATAACAACTTGATGTAGAATAAATGTGATGTATAATTTAATTTTTCAAAGTCAACACCTTAGTTATTTATAAAGAATTAAACATTAATATATGCTATCGAATTATTATTATAAAAAAGATTTGAATATGATAGAAATGGACCTCAGCCATCTTCAATGCTTACATAGTAGTAATAAATTGATTGTGAATTTCAAGTGCATGCAATTCTATTTTATACCAAAAAAAAAAAAAAAACTATTATTGGTATTGAACAACATCGGTGGACTCAAGTCCCGCAAGAAATGATGTAGTGGTTGTAGTAAAACAATTTATGTCAGTTATCAAGAGTCTCAAATCGAGTTTGTTACACATAGTAAGTCTAGTGTAGTTTACAACTGCTCCCATAGCAATGAAATGTGAACGCGTCGCAAAATTAGTGACTCATTACCAACGAAATCAAAATTCCTCGCAAATAAATTGTAATCCATCACAAATTGGTTAATAATCCGTCAATAAAGTGCGACAAATTATTCAGTCGCTGAAATTCCGTAGGTGAAGCCCTGTTTTCTTGTAGTGATGCCGAAGCATATTTTTTTTGCGTTCTTATTAAAAGAAAATCTATTTAATTTCATAAAATCAAGCCCACGTGCCAAGGCCTCTCGGAGAAAGTTTTTCCAGTAATCAAATAACACGATGTTCTCTCGGTTGCGCTACCAGAAGGTTTGGGGAAGTTGGAACAAGAGAACACTAATTTTATTGTGAGCTTATAAGTGTTTAGATGTTTTCAAGAGCTATACATTCCGCAATTGGCTATCCAGTGTTCACCGTTGGGAAAATAATCGGTACACTAGAGGTGAGTTGGACGAACAACAAACTCTTGGAACATATATACTACAGCCATCGAGGTGCCAAATGTCCCCTCGATGTGAGCTCTTGGGGAAAATCAACATCCCTAGAGTAACTTTTATCCATTGAGCGATGTCGCTTCCACTCGCCATTGTCCGGTCATTAAGCCCGACTGTAGTCCCTATATGATGGGTAGGTAATAGTCGGGCTAATTATGGCAAACTAAAATTTTCAAACTTCCGACATTGCTGCACAGTTTTTTTGTGATGTAAATCTCTCGAGTGGACACTTTCCGCGAGCCAACTTCACAAATCTGTGTATATAAGTCAACAATCCTTCACATTTTGAATCAACTCTTGAAGAAAAAAAATATCAAAAGCTCCATCTAGGCGATCCCCTTGTATTTCTAATTAGCTCTCTAGTGATCCTTTTGAATTACATCTTTAGTGATCATAAGTTAGAAATAGATATCTTATAATATATCATATTTTTATTTTAAAAATAATAGAGTGAAGAAAACAAATAAAACATCCAACAACAAAAATCAGAACCAATAAATTCAAACGTCAATTATATTTATGCGATTCATCACAAAGAAAAGGTAAAAATAATATTAATTCCAAAAATAACACATGACATGAAGAGAGCGTGTGAATAACTCGCCAAGACCCCGCGCGTCTTATAGATGAGAGAGCAGTAATTTCATAAAAAGGCAGGGAAAAAAAAAAAGAGGCCCACAAAGGAATTGCATATTTTGGTGTATGGGAATGCAAAAGCGGCAGCAGCCAGCAGGTGGGTGGGACTCGGGAAGTGGGCTGGTCCTTTTGAGTGACACACCCCATTACTGTGTGTGCTTGGCATCTTTTTTACAACCGAAACCGAAACCCGAAAGCCGAAAACTCGAAAAATGTTTTATTTTGATCATTACTTTTAGGTACGAATTTACGAATTTCGATTGTCCTGATTGAAGTTTAATTTTCGTGTATTGTGTATTAATCTGACTGTCAACAACAATATTTTTTCTTTTCCCGCAACTTTCTCCTTTCTACTCTTATTTGAGCTGAGTTGGATAAAATGAAAATATTGCAAGTTAAATTCGTTAATTACATGTTTTTTTAACCTAAATTCTAATTAGAACAAGTATATGATGATAGTTTTCTAGTTATAGGAAACTTTCAAACTTATAAGTATCCGTCGAGAGTCGATTATGTTTCTCCGCAGAGACAAGTAGTAGATAAGAGACATTCAAGGGAACTAATTCGGAATCAATTCGACTCAATTGCAAACATCCACACAAAGATAGATGAGATTCGCGTAGACCCGGCTCATAACGGAACCGTGAATTGCCGATTTTGAACAAGTCCGAACGTAGCATTAACAAAGGCTTTAAGAAGAATTACAATCGATCAAACAAAGGAAGGAACTAATTGTGATCTGAATTGAATTTTTTTTTTTTTTTTGTAATATATATATCTAAGTTTCGCCCGACTAATTAGTAGGGGGTTTCATCTGTTCGATAAACCAATTGAATCGTGCCGAATTAAAAAAAATTACATGCACCAAAACCAGTTTGGTACATTGGATTTTTTCATTTCCAAAAAATTCGCATTTCGATAATATTGAAATTTCAATTTTTACATATTTTCATTTATTATTTTCTATATTATTTCATAATTAGCTTATAATGCACCCTTAATTCATATTCATATACTCCACCCGTTCCTAAATATGTGTCGTATTTCACCTTGACACAAGTCTTAAGAATCTCAATAAATATGTCTTGATTTTAGAAAAATAAATATAGATAGACCAAAATACCCTTGTTTACTAATTAATGCAGAAAAAATGTTGGAGAGTTAATAAGGGTATAATTGAAAAATATGTAATTAATGCAGCATTAGAATTATAAAGTATAAAGATAATGAAACAAAAGAAATTCTTAAAATAGACAGATATTGTGGAACAGATAGAGTAATATAATGGTAAGTTAAATACTACACTTGGTCATTGACATCGGGTGGATTCGAACTGTAGATTTGATTAGATAACTACCCACTAAGCACACATACAAATATGTGTATGTGTGTGTGAGATAATATGCAGATCTATAGTCCAAATCTATCCGGTGTAAATAACCAGGTGCAACATCTAATTTCCCGTATGTAATCTATGTGTGTTGCTACGATTGCTTGGGGATGTAATCGGGGAGTTAGATGATACACCTGATTATTTATAATGTGGATTTAAATTATAAATTTGATTAAATAACTACCTACTAAACACACAAACACCTATAGTTCAATTAATTCGATTTAAATAACCAGATGCAACATCTAATTTTCCATAATTAAGATTATTCTCCTAATTTTCCATTAAATAGGGTTTTGTTTTCTTTAACAAAGTGTAGCAATCATAAATTATTTCCTAGCATGTATAAAATGTTGCAAGAAAATAGAAGAGAGAGATATATCATATGTGTGTGTGTATATAGAGAGAGAAAGAAGAGAGAGAAATGAATGAAAGCCAGTGGCATTATTATTAATATTATTATTAAGGCTAGGCTTCCTTGTCTTCCTTATCTCCTCCAGCTTCATCTCCTGTTCCCCTCTTGAAGCTCGCGCCCCCATTTTTCTATTTCCCCCACTCTTCTCTCTCTCTCTCTGCTTATATTATTACTTTTCTTGATTTAAAATTAATTAATTAAAAAAGAAAAAAAAGAGGTGCTGCAAAAAACCAAGCAAAATCATGACTTTCCAGTTTTCAATTCACCCACTTGCAGTGATCCATGTTTCTTGAACCAATTGCCCCACCGCAATTTTAATTAATTTATTGATTAATTAAAAATCCCGTCTTTTTTACTGCAATATGAAACGAGATCGTGATCGTGGTGGGAAGGCGGCGGCGGTGAGTGGTGGCACCACCGCCGGAAAGGGGAAGATGTGGGCGGAGGCGGATGCCGGCATGGACGAGCTACTGGCTGTATTGGGCTACAAGGTGAAGTCTTCTGACATGGCGGATGTGGCGGAGAAGCTCGAGCAATTGGAGGTGGCGATGGGGACCACCGCCATGGAAGATGGTGTTTCTTCTCTTTCCACTGATACCACTGTTCATTACAACCCCTCCGATCTTTCCGGCTGGGTCGGCAGCATGTTGTCTGAGCTCAGCGTGATTCCCGACCAAATCGGGGTTTCCGGCGGTGGTAATCTTATCAACGACGATGATTTGAGAGCGATTCCTGGTGGGGCTATTCTTGGCAATGATTCCGAGAGTGCGAAGAAGAGGATTAAATTTGATTCCCGGGTTGAATTTCTCGAAAACGGTTGTTCGGCGGCGGCGCCGCCGCCGCCGCCGCTGCCGCGGGCGGTGGTGCTGGTGGATTCGCAGGAGGCGGGGGTGAGGCTGGTGCACACGTTAATGGCGTGCGCGGAGGCTGTCCAGCAGGAGAACATGAAACTCGCCGATGCTCTGGTGAAGCACGTCGGGATACTGGCGGAGTCGCAGGTCGGCGCCATGAGGAAAGTCGCCGCCTGTTTCGCGGAGGCGCTTGTTCGGAGAATCTACAAGATTCGCCCCCAGCCGGAGGAGAATTCGTCCTACGCCGATGTTCTGGAGATGCACTTTTACGAAACGGCGCCGTATCTGAAGTTCGCGCACTTCACGGCGAATCAGGCGATCCTGGAGGCTTTCGCCGGAGCTTAGAGGGTCCACGTCATCGACTTCGGTTTGAAGCAGGGTATGCAGTGGCCTGCTTTGATGCAGGCTCTGGCTTTGCGGCCCGGTGGGCCGCCGGCGTTCAGGCTGACCGGGATCGGGCCGCCGCAGCCCGACAACACCGATGCTTTGCAGCAGGTGGGGTGGAAATTGGCGCAGCTGGCGGAAACAATTGGAGTTGAATTCGAGTTTCGTGGATTCGTGGCGAATTCTTTGGCGGATTTGGATGCGAAAATGCTGGATATTAAGCCGGGTGATTACGAGACGGTGGCGGTGAACTCTGTGTTCGAGCTACACCGGTTGTTGGCCCGGCCCGGAGCGGTGGAGAAGGTGCTGGGTTCGATTCGGGCCATGGGCCCGAAGATAGTGACGGTGGTTGAGCAGGAGGCGGACCACAACGGGGTTGTGTTCATGGACCGGTTCAACGAGTCGCTGCACTACTACTCGACGATGTTCGACTCGCTGGAGGGGTCCGGGTTGACTCAGCCCGACGGCGGCGGCGGCGGCCAGGATCTGTTCATGACGGAGGTGTACCTGGGGCGGCAGATATGCAACGTGGTGGCGTGCGACGGCGCCGAGCGGGTCGAGCGGCACGAGACGCTGGCGAAGTGGCGGCGGCGGATGGGCTCGGCCGGGTTCGAACCGGCCCACCTGGGGTCCAACGCGTTCAAGCAGGCCAGCATGCTGCTGGCGCTCTTCGCCGGCGGAGATGGGTACAGGGTGGAGGAGAACGACGGTTGCTTGATGCTGGGTTGGCACACGCGGCCGCTCATCGCCACCTCAGCTTGGAGGCTGACGGAGGTGGAGTGATTGTAAGTCAACTGCGTTTCGTGAATCCACTGAGTTATGAGCCAACTCGGAACACTGCCGCCACAGCGAGTGGGTATGAGCTGAGTTGGTAGAGAGAGAGAGAGAGAGAGGGTGAGTGAGACTGATAGAGAGAGAGACATACCTAAAATTGAGTCAATTCCTGTCTTTTACTTTTCACCAAGTCAGCTTTTTTTCTATTTTTATCTTTAAAAAAAAAAAGAAAAAAAAAAACAACAAATCCCCTTTTTTCGTACATTATTGTAACGTTATGAAATTACTTTCATTTCTAATTTTGTGTTTTTTGAATTAATAATTAATATTGCATCCTTATATTACGTCACTCATGACTAATTATGTTTAAGAAAAATATTATATATACATAATATGTAATATGAGGTAAAAAAAATTAAAAGTAAGTATTATACATTATTCTATTATATATCATTACTTTTTGATTATTTTTTTTAATTATGTTGTATTTAAATTAAATTAAATATTTTTATTATACATGAACAAAAATTAATACTTAGAGAAAAAAAGAGACTAGACTCTATAAAAGAAAGAAACGCTGGACAACTCTAAAAAATCCTAATGGTATTTCTATAATTAAATATTTTTAATATTTTTTTTCTCTACTAATTTTTAACTATAATTTTTAACAATTATCAAAATTGAAACTAAATCCTGAAGAATCTTATCTAATGGTACTTTTATAATTATTTATTTTTAATATTTTTTGTCTACTAAACTTTTTACTATAATTTTCAACAATTATCAATCTCATATTTTTCATCAATATATCTCGAATCTTAAGAGATAAAGATAGAAATTCGATTCGTTATTAATCTATATATTTAGATTATAAATCTTAATATGTCAGATTTAAAAAAAAACTAATGTTATATAAAATATGAATTACTACATTATTAAATTTTACTATGTTAGTATACTATATTTTCTTATCATGTATTAAATTGAATTTTTTTTTTCACTTTTGAATATATCCCGTGATCGCACGGAAAAAATGCTAGTATGTATATATAT